TCTGGCGCTTATAAAGGATCCATAACAATCCAAAAAAGACTCTTGCCTAATCCTCTTCCTTCGTTCGCCACTCCTACGACTTGTTCACTCACAGTCGACACCCGGCTAGGAGCTAGATGACACTACCAGTTTGTTTTTTTTATCTTCTTTCGCAGAACAAATTAATTCGCGAAACTAATAGAACTGAAGCGGCAGCGCCCTGCCGTTATCATATTCAAGCATCTAAACAGCTCTAGTTCCAGCCTCCAGAATGGAGTGAAACGCTCGGTTTTTTCTAGAGAAGCCACTTTGAGCGATGAGTTCGCACCATCTACCAAAAGAATGCACTAGTGTTGAGAGTTTATTTTTTGACAAGGATAACCTGTTATCGCAGTCAGAAGCGCCAAATCAACTGTAGCCTCGGCAATTATCACACTTCTGCATCCATAAACGTTTCTTTTACGACCGGTTTATGACAGCATTGATAACAATGGTGAAGGCACGTAAAGCAGCTGCGAATTGACAGCGGAAGACACCAAAATTGGATGCAAATAGGGAAAGCGGAAGCTTCACACCATACAGGTGGCAGTCCATAGGACTGCCAGGGACGCGCGGTAAGGTGACGATAGCAGCCCACGTGGTCTGCCACCTAATTACAGCAGTACCCTCCCAACAGAAGTCGTGTCGAAGAATCTATTCAGTGGGTGGGATGAAGTAGCCCACGTCTTACAGATGTGTCCTTGTCGCAGCTCGAAAGTGTGCAGGCAATGGCTGTAGGGTCTTACAAAGTCAGCTTTTGGCAACTATCTTAGCATTCAGACGAGTTACCTCACGCACAACCAAACATACATACAACGCGGATTACTGCACAGCGGCTAAATGAAATACGCGCGAGTTAATCGAGCCGTGGAGCAGGCAAGTTGTTGATACAAACTGCGTTTCCGACAAAGCCCGGGAGTAAAAGCGCCCCTTCCTCATTTCACGGGAGCACTTATTCTAGGCTCATCGACGCTCTTCTTGGCTTCTCTTCTTCATTTTTAGTCAACTTGGCATGCACAACTCCATTATCGAGCGCTGTGACCCCACAAATTTGATGTGGGGGGGGGGGAGGGTTCCATAAAGGCAATTTTGAATGTTGGTTCACCGTCTTTCTATTATAAATTTTAATGTCTAAACACGTGAATGAAAAGAGTAGCTAGGGAGTAATACAAAACTCCATAAATGAAAAATACGTGTTTTTTACTGAAAAAATAGGAGCAAAAATGCTTTTGAAGTCTACTTCAGCAAAAAAACGGCAAATTCTATATCTCCATTTCTACTACAACTTCTTTCAAAAATTCTACACTGTAACCCCTCCTCTCCGCTTAGATTAATTCGTCGTTATTTAGGCATTTGCTAAAAGTTGTCGGCAGCAAAAAGCATAAACCTCCTCTCCCTTACATTAATTCTTCGTATTTAGCATTGCTAAAATTGTGCAAAGCAAAAAGCATAAAGCATCCGGCGATAAATCCAATATTGAAATGCGCCAGGCGTTCTACTCCCATTTAGATTCATAGTGACAACTTGAATACGATTTGCTCTATACAACAAACTCCGGGGCTATAGACCTCATGAGGATGAGAGGCTTGTTTGGCTCGGATAACGTACGAGGATTTGATCTCCCGGAACCGCGTGCGTGGTGAGCAGCGCCATTTGCCACTACACCACACTTGCTTAAGGGTTACAGCATGTTACTTAAAGTTTATCCATTACTATACAAAATCCATGATGAGGTGGTGAAATGCAAACGTCCCACGTGACCAAAATTGAAAAAGGACGCCGTCTCCACGTGTGTACCCCCATTCCATGAAGGTGATGAGTCTATGATTTTCAGAAATCACGCAGACAATTTGATCATCCGAGGATCCCATTAATTTGCATTGCGCTGTCAAGAGAGCAACGTTCTAGAACAAGCCACAGTTCCTACGACCAACAGCGGTGCTCGCTCCTAGTTGAAAATTCCATAAGCGGACTGTACATGTCGAATGCCCGATTTCAATTTCATGTGGAAAACCATGTGTTCAAAAGGGACCTTCCCTGTTACTTCGCACACGTTTCAGATATACCGGGAGAATGTCGTCGTGGCTAAGAAAATTTTCGGCGAGCGGCACAGAATTACATCTACAGTTCACTTATTGTCAGGGAGAATACTGTGGCTCGTGGAATCCAGGTCAGGCTAATCAGTTCACTACATAGTTACTTCTTTAGTTATCTTTTTTTTTAAATGGTTTCCAGGAGGAAAAAACTTGAACCATAGCTAACGTCACTATCCGCTGCTGTGCAATAATTCGAACAAATTCAGCTTTACTATGCTGAAAAAACGAGAATGCATGCCGCACCCTGGCTGGATTGATCGCCAAAATCACACTGCGCAAAAATTTCAACGCTTCCTTACAAGGAAGGCTTCGAGAAAGGTCAAAGGTCAAAAGAGGGAAAATCCACCTATTTAAAAAGCGGGCCCTTAAGATGCGGGACGATGCGCGTTTCGTAGCGAGGAGTATGCCCGCAGCGGCCTTACAGGAAAATACCCGCGCCGCTCGCACCGCTGCCCGCCCACCCTCTCGCCGTCTGACTCTAGCCATTTTGCAGAAGAAGCGTTAGCGTTGAAGAGGGCGGCAAAGATGAAAGACGGACCAATGCGCACATCAGCGGGAAGTGAAGGGATCCAATTCCCGGATTCTGGGCCGTTTCTCATTGTTTTCTCCATCTTCAATACTCTGCCCTTTTCGTGAACTCCGATTTAGAGTTGCTTTTGCCAAATACGAAAAGGTCATTTACCACATTGACGACAGCCCGCATTTTTAGCTTTTTTCGCCTGTGCGTCTGCAGCATTTCTGCAACCGCAGCCGCCTCATCTCGTATCGTGAATTTCGAGTTGTAAATACGTAATACGTGGATGCGGAGGAAAGTTTCCAGCGATATCCATTGCGTTCAATTTTTTGGGAGGTACAGTCATTCAGTTGGCTTCCCGCGGCAGACCGCATAAGAAGTATTGTTTGGCACCGCCAGTTTTTCATGCTCTCTTTTTTTAAAAAAATTTGCAGTATACATGCCGCGAAGAGCGCGACAAAGTTAGTGGTTATCCTGGTCAGGCCTTCATTGTATTTAGGTATCAGTTACAATCACTTATCTATGCGTCTGTCTCACCCCCTACATCATATGTAAGACCAACGCCTCCTCCACCCACCCCCCATTGTTGTGACATGTGTCCTGGATTTCGTGACATAAAAAGATAGACCACCGCGGATTTCGTCCTTGATGGGCCGTAGCATGTGGTATGTGAGCCCTGGCCCTCACCTGCTCGGAGATCAGCATTTTATGTTAGTAAGCAGATCATTCACTATATTCTTCCTCTCATTAGAAAAAAAAAACGGCAATTAGTGCCAAGCTAGAAAATAAAAACAAGAAAACAACAAAGAAAAAACATTTTCGCACGCCAAGAGGAGAGAATGCGTGCGAACACAAGTTCATCAACTCAACGAAGAGATGGGATATGAGGGAGAAAGTGTTTGGATGAATGCAAAATCTCTCCCTCCAACTGTTACTTTTGGAATCTTAGATTTTAGGCTATCAGAAGGTTGTTGGGCTTTAATGATCCTAAATCACGCACTTTACAAGCACCCACAACCCTCACCTCAAAAGGTTCCCAAATGTTACGCTGATGTCCACTCTGGCCAAAGCATTTTCACCTATGGTCTTCTTCGCGGCTATCGTAAGCACATAGCAAAATTATACGAAAGTTTATAAGGTAATAGTTTCCAAGAATAAGATATCAAAGGCCGCGTTTTAGATCGTGACTTCGGAAATTAGGACAGTAGATGACAATGAAATATTATTGGTTGGAAGATCAGTAGAATGGTAGATTAAACTGTGCTGAGTTGATTAGATACACAGTGATCTAAGATACACATACACATACACAGTGATCCTGAAGACGCCTGCTCTGATAATCTTCTACTATCATACCAGTACTATCTTCTCATTTCAAGCTGCCTGCCCCGATATCCTAACGCCCACTATCCTGACTCCCAGTCGCGAAATATAAACGCACCCTAGTCAATCGATGAAGCCCTGAACTGTTGCTTATTTGACTCCTGACCCAAATTATGGGAGCAATAAGCAGTAAGGACAGCACATTAAGATGACCACTCCTCAAGCAAGTGCATAGGCAAAACTGGCAACGAAATCCTGCTACAAATTTTAGTAGCTTTGGCGTCGACAAAGCGGTAAGGCAATCAACATCACTCGTGAGAAGGCGACCACAGGAGCGCGAAACACTCCAGAAAGAATTGCTCATTGTGAAACACCTTTTCGCTTCCCTTAGAGGTGCGCAATGTTCAGGATCCGCTCACAAAACCAAACAAAATACTGGCAGATGTAGAAAGAAAAAAATTATATCTGCCACATGGCACTCAAATCAACTTCCGTTGTCCCAATAATGAACCGACAAAACGCAAAGAAACCTCAAAACACGTTTTACGAGAAGAAAAATAGAGACATTGCCGGCAGTAAACGACAATGAATGATAAAATGCTAGACAATAGATTGTACGGTGTACACGAATCTTTCAAGGATACGTCTGAATAGCTCAAACTTTTATATACAACATAAAGTAATGCAGAAGTAAAAAGTAACACAGAAATTTCAACACTAACGGATCCTTTCCGAACAAAAACCAACAAATCATTCTTGGAACAGTTAACAAACTCGCTAGAGCTGGGACATGATTGGCCAACGAAAATATGCCGCTACCTCAAAGAAAAATTACTCTAAACGTGCCCCTGTTTTTTAGACCCACAAAGCGATTCAACCCATTACTTATGTACTTAGTCACGACCTTAGTAATACTTTCGATGAATAGCAAAATCCGATCTCGTTGCTGAAAATGCAAGTAAGCTCGGAAACAAAACGAGACAAGTCATCTATTCAAGGTTAACAAGAAAATGAACACGCTTCAATATTACGAACATGCAAAATGAAATTCATCCCCACAGTCCTAGTTTAGCTTTTTGCTTTTGCTTCTTCTTAACGACATCGAAATTCCGATCCTTCCAGTTGGATTTCCTTAATTTTATGGGGCGATTTCCGACGTATTTACCATCCATTTCCCTCATTGCGCGTACATAGTCCTGAAAAGACAGCATCAAAAAAATGCTCATGTAGTTTTTATATGGGCACATGCGGCAATGATGGGAAAACATTGGGAGGACAACCGTGAGGATGTGAGACACAGCGTGATCTTCCTCCCCTACGACCAACGCTGTGCGTCAGGAGGTAGCGCCGAACGGAAGGCATATAATGAGACAATGAGGGATTTTATAGTAAAATTTGCCAGCGCACTTTATGCGGAATTTTCGGCGCCCCGCTAAACGCTACCCACCACGTGAAATGCTAATGGTCGTAAAACTATGTGCTAGATTTATAATATTGAACTCAGCGTGTCTGATTCTGAAAATGGAATCGAAACCGTAGCTTTGTATTTGTATGGACCTTGGGTCTTGAAACTAAACAGCGGAGTATGGACTTTAGGGGATTTATGGCATAGCCATGGTTCTGCTAATGATTTCAGGAGGCTCAACAGCATTACAATCTATACATGTGCGTAGCTTGACACGACACAATGAATGCTACTCAATAGACACTTTATAAAACAAACTAACGAAAAGGGAGAACCCACAACCGTACATGAGTTCAACCCAAAATAGATTAGTTATTAAACATGAGTTCATAAATGTAGAACTTCTGTATTTGCCACCCCGCCTAATAATAGCCTATTGCGTTCTGGAAAACTAGGGGTACTTTCGAAAAGCCTTGCAAGTAAGCGCGTCAGTTTACCTGCAAGTCGAGGGGGGGGGGGCAGATTTGTGACAGTAGAATGTGACGTGTGACTGCGACTACAATCAAAACATACCTCATTTCCTAAATCGCCGCAGAATATGCGGAAGTCATTTTTATCCCATTCGGCCAGAGGGGGATCTTCCCAAACCTGTGCAATTCCACAATATAACTAATTGTGAGACGAAGATCAGGTTTCCCTTGTAAAAAAAAATCTCGTTAATTCACATGGGTGTCAATGCACGTGGCAGAAAACGATCGTTTTTGCGTTTCGCCAAATGATTGTTCGCTGATTGGAACCTACAGGCATGGTGATATCATTGTGGACTTAGTTCCACACGAGAATTTTTTCGCGCTGGAAACGCGAAAAGTCGTTTCACGGTAATCGATAGGCCGTAGTCATATTTAAAGGAGGATTTCACGATTAGAATGGAGGTCGAGGAAGAAGTAATTTACCTAGTTGAGGGACCCACGGACCTCCTGAGGGTGCGAACTGATGCGCAATTCGCATCGAAAATTTTGACCTCGGCGACCTATCATGCCTCAAAGCTGGCGGGTCGGCGATCTCGCCCCGCATAGGATCACACTCGCGCAGGTCTATACGTGGGATTGATTAGATAGCAGAGAGAGCGTGATGTTGAGGAGGGCACAGCGATAAGAGTCGCATCAATGCGCAAATCAGCGGGGAATTAAGGGTCCCATTTTCTCGGGTTCTGGGCCGTTTCTCATGGTTCTTCCTTCTTTCATGTAACAATCACCATCCCTAAGTGTTTAATTTGAAATAGGGTTGCCTTTCCAGCGTGAATCGTCCTTTAAAGGATCAGCGGCTTCAGAAAGGTGTTTATTTGATTGATAAATTATACTATTGTAAAGCGTCTTTTTTATCAACTACTATCGTGACCTTTCGGACCTGACGGAGAAAAAAAAAGAAAAATGAATAGGACAAAAACAATAGATATGAAGAAAGACAAACAAGAAACATTGAAAACATATCAAAGACGATATACAATGGGTGGCAGTACTTCAATATTGTACCCCAAAACAGCAGTAAAAATTTCACTGCCGTCCTCGAGGGGGGGGGGGTGGTATTGGATGCCTGAACAGGAATACAACATTCATCTGCCACGACGGCTTTTTCACCAAATTCGATGTAAACTTGTATATAGGGGTTATTTGGTGGCCCGATTTGGAGAATGTGACATTATCTTAGCGCTGGCGCCATTCAGTGCCCATTTGCTGTTCGTCTGCGCCCTCTCACTGATTAGATCGCGCTCAGGACTAAGCTTTTAGGGAGAGGAGGGTTTCGAGGTGAAAAAGCCATTTCCTCTGTGATCTTACACACTTCAGCTTCTGTCACACGATGCTTGGCACTCATCCTATAACTTTAAACACTTGAGCTTTTATCACATGATTCTTGGTTCACCTACCCCCGGCGTACCACTCCCCCCTACCCCTTAGCTTAGCTTTGGGCGCTATAGATGAGAGAGCCCAGGAGAGTAGGAAATATGCTTTAAGCAGTAAAGCCAAAAATCAACGTCAAATTCGTAAACAGGACTTCAAGTAACCCTTATACAAAAATATAGATCAAATTTGGTGGAAACAACCGTAGTGGCAAAGTGGCGCCAAAAACCAATGTCATATTCTTGATCAGGGCACTAAAATCCCAGGAATAGTTTAGATTCTTTCTTAGCGGAAACTTTGATAGTGGAATAGTAAGTACCACAGGGATGAACCTACCCAGTAGCGTCGACTCACCCTTTGTATGATGCCCTACGCATTCGACTTCCATTTGGAATCATAGTGACTTTGATGCGTTATTGGCTGTACAATGACGTACGACCCCAGAGGAATAGAAGGCCTGGCTAATCTGCGCAAGACTCGATCAGGGATACGGTTCCAGACCGTGCGCGTGGGAAGTAGCGTCACTTACAACTACACCTATACTACCCAAAATTAAAGCCACACTCCAGTTCGATTGGGTGCGCTCACAGCGCTCGATAACAGAGTTGTATGTAGATGCCGCGTTGACTAAAAATGAAAAAAAGAAGCAGAGAAAGAAAAAAGTTAGGTCAAAATCTCGATTTCCGTTGAAATTTTGCCTATAAGTGCAAAGCAAGGTGCTGATCACGGATAGCGTCGGCGCCATTTGGCGCCACAAGTTTATTCAGGCAAAATGGCGCGATTTGGAGATGAGAACCAAAAACGCGAAAGTTTGCCGTGGAGCGGAGTCGAAGTCGAAGCACAAAGTCCCTTCCACCGAGTCAACCTCAGCCCACCACCAGATACACTTGACCACCAGACCGCTCCGAGCAATAAGATGCCGACGACGCTTATGAACCTCCCCACTTTTTCTTGCACTACCACTGACAGTACTTCAATTTTGAAATTTCACGTTGTTTTCGATACCATCTTCATCAGCACCCTTCAATATGCAGGTGATCTTTTCTACAAGTCCGAAACGTCACTCCAAGGCAGCAAAAAAACTACCATTCTTAACATTTTTTCGACCCTTTTTGGCCTTCAGAGGGCCGCTCAGCGAAAATGAAACGCAGTGTTGTATGGCACGCGAGAGCCCCTACATCATGCAAAAACCGTTTCGAAAAAGCGGGGCTTGCCCTGAAAGGCCCGTTTGTGAGAGGTTATTGCACTCATCAGCTACCATGGTTTTTTTCTCGAATAATTGATTTTCCTGAGGCGATCGCCACGAATACGTATTGGTAAGAAAGGTTTTGTTTCTAAGAAAACATATTTGAGGAATTTCTGCTCACATATAATATTAAATTTCCTACATGATGAGAAACAGACCACGTTGGCCTTAAACAATAACCTAAAGCTCAATTTGTCAAAGGTAAAAGCCACACATAAGTGAGTAGTTTAGGTACATTGGATTAAACTGTTCCGTCTCTACCGCCCTCGATGAACAGCAATGCAGCAGCATTCTCAACGCCTAGTGGAAGCAGATACGAAGCATAG